TCATTTTATGGGTATCTTGTGTTTTGACCGCCAAACACTCCGCCCCATAGAGCAAAGTTGGTCTTTCAATTGTCCTAATTCCTATAGAACTTGTCCTTCAGCTTCATTAGTATACAACGATCACATTGCCCACCTAGCTCTAATTCTATGCGCATAATCTCCCTCAATCTCTCCATTTTCCTAGATTATCGACACAAGATATCGAAAGTGTACTCTTTTCGATATTTCAGCCGTCAACCTTAACTACTTCCTCGTCTCTACTTATATTATTATTAAACTTGATATTATTATCGACACAAGATATCGAAAGTACGCTCTTTTTGATATTTCATGGCCGTGAACCTTAACTACTTCCTCATCTTTACTTATATTATTATTAAACTTGCATTCTATATACTCGAACTTAGTCCAACTAATTTTAAAACCTTTAGATTCTAGAGCATCACTTTAAAGTCCTACCTTTGCATTGACACAGTTTCGGGTCTCATCAATCAAAACTATGTCATCTGTGAAAAACATGCACCATGGGATCTCATCTTGTAGGTGCCCAATGAAGCATCCATAACTAAGACAAAAAGGTATGAGCTCAATACTAACCCCAGATGTAGACTTATTGTCACTAAAAACTCACTCATCTCTCCACTAGTTGTTCGTACACTAGTTAGCGCTTTATCGTATATATCTCTCATCAAGTCGATGTAGTGCATGGAAACTTCTTTCTTTTCCAACACACACCTAACCAAATCTCGAGGTACTCTATCATAAGCTTTTTCTTAATCAATAGAGATCATGTGGAAGTCTTTTCCCTAAGCCCTAAACTTCTCAATCAATTGCCTAAGCAGAAAAATAGCTTTGTTTGTTGACCTCCCTGGCATAAAACCGATTTGGTTTTCTGATACACTCGTTTCATGCCTTAGTCATTGCTCGATCACTCTCTCCCATAGCGCTTCATAGTGTGGCTCATAAGTTTAATCCTTTGATAGTTCATATAATTCTGTATATCTTATTTGTTTTTGTAAATAGGTAACACGGTACTTTTCCTCCATTTTTATGGCTGTAAGGAACTATATAACTTGAAATTGACAATTGTGCGTGTGTGTGTGTGTGTGTGTGTGTGTGAGAGAGAGAGAGAGAGAGAGCGAGGGAGGGAGAGAGAGAGATCATCTGACTTGGTAATTTTCCCCAATAACAAAAGAACGTGGCATGCATAAACTGCGGCAACAGGTGGCCTCTTGGGAAGACCTTCTAGAGCACCACAGCAACCACACTAACAAAGCAAAAGAGAGAAGAAAACAGACATCGAATGATAAACCAAAACCATACACATTTGAGAGAGGCAAACAACATTATTTGATATCTGCATTTGGAAGTTCCAAACAATTAACATTATAGATGGACAAGCGAAGATTCCACTACTACCAAATTCACCATCCATGAAAAACACAGGCTTTACCAACCTTGAAATAGGATATATAGGAAGCTGGATTGCCGGACCGAAGATGTTTGGGCTGTTTCCTTCCTTTCATTAAATTATTCACCAATTCAGTCCTTGCAGAAGCTGCCAATGAACTTCCACTTCTATACTCAATCAACCCCTTCCTACATAAACAAGAAGGCTACCAGTTAAGACTAATAGGATAGGCACTCAACCCAAACACATTATTATAAAACTGTGTGGCTGTCAGCTGAGAGGCATACGCAGTCTATATATTTATGCTGCATTGTCTTTTACATACAATTTGTTTTGTTTTTTGTTTATTTGTGATCTCTTGGAATGTATCCTTTTTTCTTTTTCTCGCGAAATGTTGACATAGAAGTGAGTCCTTTTCTCCATCATGGGAATCATTTCAGCAAGGGCTTTGGTAGTACTCATTTGTGGTCAGTAGATCTCTACTTACTAAAGAGTGCAACTTCGTATGGAAAATTTAATCTTCCGATTCAGCCATCATTTACTGGAAGCTTTCAAATCAATTTGTTTGCTTTTGTTTACTTTGATAGCTGAAGGGTACATGACTAGGTACATCTCTTTTTGGCTTCAACTTGAATCTTATTTCACCATCCAATTGATGAAGGATTTAGGAACAAAAAAGTAATTAATAAGGCCCACATGACTGGAACTTATTTTTCATTTTTTTAGGGAAAATATCAAAAAGGGAGTTAAAACCCCTTATGATATCACTAAAGGGGTCAAAAGATTACAAATTACACTTGAGGGTATGCTTTTAAATATCTATATCTATCACATATATCCTCAATAAAAATGTTAAAAATTCCCAAATTGCCACTATTTGGTGTTGGGAAGCCCAAAAAGTTAGGGGTACTTTGATAATTTTATCCCCAAAGAGTCTTTAACTGAATGATAATTGGGGGCAAAATTAGCAAAAGTACCACTAATTATTCTCGCTTCCCAACACTGAACAATGGAAATTTAGGAATTTTCTACATTTGCTTTGAGGATGTACCTGATTGACATAGAAATTTTTTGACCCCTTTGATGATATTTCAAGGGGTGTCAACCTGTTTGATGTTTCCTCCTTTTTCTTATTGTTGTCACGCATTGGAAATATTAGTAATTATTGAATCTATTACAAATGCAAACTAACTTTCTTGGGATACATGGCGGTTTTCAACAAGCACACAAATTAGTAAAAAAAAAATTAAGTAATAGTATGGTTTAAACAAGAGAAACTACAGGTGGCAATGGCACCTAACCTCCAGTACAGGTGGCACCTAGAATTCACTGAAAATGTCAATACCTTTTTTTAGAAATGTCGCATTTCTCAGCCATGATATTGCCTTCACCAGTATGTACATCCTCATCACCGATGGAGGAGCAAGATTCAGCTAGGGGAAGATCATCCAATGTTTTGTTCTCCTCATGCACATGTGAGTACCTGGTTAAAACTCAAAAAATTTGAAAAACAAATCAATTATTTACAAAGAGAAACTAATGATCCAGATAAACTTCAATAATTAGATAAAATAGTAAATCTGCAGAGGACATATTTTCAAACAGATTTACGGAAGTTTATAATTTCATAACCACTTTTGCTAGCATCTAATTCAGAGACATTTTGAAAACAGCACAAACTACAAACTATATGCAAAAGCAAAATGAAAAATACAAAAAGTACTTGATGAATATATATTTACACACATGTTGTATTGTGAATTATTTAATACGATATTTCCTTTTCCACGAACTTTTGTATTATCATTTGAAACATATGGTGAAACATATAATTTTCATGTTCAAATTGGATTCATTTGTTTAATTGTGTTCATATTATTAACTCAAGTTTGGCAAAGTACTTCCAGAACAACTCCAGAAGTGAAGTCATCATGAATGTTGAGCGAGGAGAACCATATGAGGCTTGGAGCATACGTAACATTTCAGCATATTACTGGAAGGAGGTTCTAAATGTGAAACGAGATGGATTGGGCTTAAGATGTTCCCAAAAGTAGATAAGTCAATACCATAAATAGCCCCACACCCGATCCCAAAGCTTGGTGTGGTAAAAATAGGTGGAAGCTGCTCAGATTTAAAGATGGGAATAGGGATAGATGTATAGAAGAGGCGCTGAGGTGGTGTACACAATATCAGTGCATAGAGTAAAAGGGAGGGTAGAAGGGATGAAAGGAGAGCACAAAAAGGGCAGAGGAGGGAAATCTGGTAAAACAAACTCATGGAGTGAGATTGTATATAAGATTAATGCAGGAGGGCTGGTTGCAGCGCGATTGGGAATAGAATAGCGATCTGCCAAGTATATGTGCCCGATATGGTTAAAGTTGTAAACAAAAATACTCAAATAGTAAACAGATCCCAAACTGAGTCAACGAATTAGTGTCTCAACAAAAGTGAAAGACAAAATTTAAAAATTGCATAAGAACAACACATCAGAGTTAGACAAGTCATATACTTTGTAAACTTCAGTAAGTACTCAAACTGAGTCGACTAACATGAATATCGAGTTTATTGAGTTTGTGAGCAAGAATCACAAGGAGAAGGGAACAAACAGAGGAGGAGACTGAGTTCATGGAAGGACATTTAAGGGATCAAATAAGCAGAAGAGGCCACTAAGAAGAAACAGGAAGGGCTAGACTGGTCATCCCTTATTGGATTTTTCCCCATAGTGTTAAATTTGCATTGCTTTGGCCAAAGCGGCTCAAATCTCCAGCCTCAACCCCCAAAGCCGCCTTCAAACCAAAGCAAGTTCTGCTGCAGACTGAATTGGCCCACTTTGGCCGATTCATTCCTCGGCTTATTCTTACATAAGTCTGGAAGTTTTATTTTTAAATTTTTTAGAAGACATTCACAGACTTCCCCCCAGTTGCTCGAGGCATCAAAGTGCTTCTCTTCTCCCCAGCCAAACCAAAATTGTCTTCAACGTGAATTTAACAACATAGGTTCTACCCATTTGGATCAAGCTTTATTGTTCTAACGAACAGATAGAGAGAATTTACAAGTCTCTCGAAATGTTAGTATCATGGTTATCAAGGAGGATAACTTGCCATTTTAGATTCGATGAAAGGGAACTGGAGGATGCAGTATGGCAGAAGTTGATTGACCCTTCTGTTGTGAGCATGGGAGCATAGAGAGAGGGAGTTCTAAAGGGCTGGGTAACTTGCAATAGCAGTCCCACAATTCATATGAAGGTAGGAATTGGAAACTTAGTTGCACAGATCTGGTGCAGGTAGCATTTCCTGTGCAAAATCCAGTTGGAGATCGACACGACTGGCAACCAAACATTTTTCGCTTCCTCCCTCTAGCTCCTGCTCACATACCATGGAAATTAAGTGGACAACATACCATGGAAATTAATGCATCGACTCAAATTGTATAGATAGAAGAGCCTCTTGTCAAGAGCGCATGGGACTCATGAAACACAGAGGTGTTGGAAGCATGGTCCAATATTCTATGGTAATAAAACTTTCCTTTACTGTCTTTCCTTTTTTTTCATTGATTGTGTTCAAATGTACAAAATTGCAAGTTGGGCCCTCAAAGGGTCATAATGAATGAAGAAAATAGGTTAAATTTGGTCAAAATAATGAAAAAAATGCACATAAGGATAAAATATAAAAGACAAAGCAGTAATATTCTGCCTCATAGACTGTTAGTGATGATCTATGTATCCCCTCCCGTGCTATGGTGACTGTGCATTTGTTAGCTTCCCTCCATGTGATTGAAGGGCACCATGATTCGTGAGGCCTGCTCCAAGATTTTGATGAAGAAGTCTGCAAAACACCATCGGTTATCATCCCCAGTTTTCGCCCATAGAATTAGCATCCATCTATACCTTCAACTTCTAGGTTAATTCATATATGGTCATAGGTTGTTTATAGCTTGTGGTGTAGAGACCTTGATCGTGTTCTTCAAGAGCTTGAATCATACAATTCTATACCCTATATCATCAAGAAGTAAGAAAAGTGGAAAGCGATAAGCATTGGAGTAGGAGTCGGAGGCCTTTGTGTCAAGGATACTCACTCCATATAACTGACATGGAAAAATGGAAGTACGCAGGAGTAACTGCTTGAAAAGGGCATTACACCTGAAGCAAAGCTTCGTTCACAATACAAAGAAGGGAAGAAGAGATGCAGAATGCCAAGGAGGTAAAGGCCGCAAAGTACCTCAAAGTTTGAATAACCATGGATATCTTGTTCGTAATGCAAAATGGCACTTAACTTGATGGATTTAAGTGACACCATAACTGCAAATTACATGACAAGAATTTGAAAACTCCCAAGAGTAGCTGAAGTTATTTGAAACTCCATTAACCTAATTGGAATATTGGACAAATAACACCTCATGAAAAATATAAGTCACAACAGCAATTGCAGGATACACAAACAAACATTATAGACTTATAGTGACTAATCCATTATCAGTTGTAGGTGCGTAGCATTTTAGCTTTTCAGTTTCTTAGCCCATCTGGGCATGCAATACATGCTGAAGAAAGGGACCTTATATGATAACTTCTCTGTTTAGTAGGTTCAAAACATCATTCCAAATTACAATTTAGTGCTGTCTATTTCTTTCAGTACGTAAGCAATCTCTTATCCTTAGCAAAAAAGTATATTGACACTAAAACAACTACAATAAACAATCAACTAGTCCAATATATCGAATTGTTACCCCAGGAATTCTCTGATCATGAGAGAGGGTTCATTTCTCAAGGAAACATAGATGCTCTGAAGGTTAAAATATTAAGCAGGATTTGATTACTTCGATCAAAGAATAAGAAGTCAGAAAGATCAGACACCTCTGTATTTTCTGAATAATATCTGTTTCGGAATCCTCGCAGCTTAACCACTTCTCCTTCCATCTTGTCAGAATCTCCAAAAGGCTGGCAAAAGTAACAAAAGATATAGTTATCACAATAGAGTGCTAGAAAGCAAGAACAAGCCATCACCAGAATAAATATAAAATGTAAATTAGGTACAATATGTTTCATAGAGAAACATGTACTTATTCTGATGTGTTTGTAACTCCGAGTAGTAAGCCTTCTTGTTAGCCTTAAAAATCATCTCCCTGTTATGAACAGCATCTGGATGATTGCCACCAGAACAAAGTGAAGGACCCCTGAAATTATAATGCCTATGATCAGAACAAACCAAAAATTCCAAAAGGTAAAATAATGTCTATGGTAAATGCACTAATCCAACCACTGCAAGATAATACTACCTTAAAACATAAAATATGTCTTCCTCATCACATGCCAAAGATAAAAATATCAGTTCTTGGAGCTCCTCAGGATGAAATACTACAACATGGGATAACCATCTATATTGCTAAGGAAGAATAAATAGGAGTGTGACTTTTAAATTCATCTCGATGACTTCATCTTCCATCCAATTTTTCTAGAATACTTTTTAAGGAGAATGAGTAAGTTTATTTAATCAAATTATATTTCAACACTAAATAAATATTTATCTTTCCCTAATTTCAACCAGTTCCTCACTTCTCTCTATCAAAACTCAAAAGTGTAAGGAAAGTAGGACTCCTCAAGTCTATTCTAAAACTTAAAAACTCATACTTCAAATTGTATTAATTATTTGAAAACAAAGAATAATTGTAATTTCAATTTTTTAAAACATTTGGCCTAAACAGACTTTATTATTTAGAAAATTTTAAAGAATAATTGAAAAATCTAATCGCTTATTTACTTAAAGTTGAAAAATAAATCATACTAAGAAAGGATTAATTCAGTAAATTGAGTCCTTCATGAAATGAACAAGTCATTGGCTAGGATTTCTGAGCTCCTCAGGATCACGTGCTCTCGATGAAGCAAAGACAGAAGTAAGACCAAGTAAAATATTGGGTAAAGCTGGAAAAGATATTTGATAAAAAATAATAATGATAATTACAAAATAACCAAATGAAATTTTAGAAAAATCATATATATCAATCAAGCTTTAGTACAATTTCATCCAAATTGAGACAGCCAACTAAAATCAAAGCTAAATTTTCCAAGGCATGTATGTTTCCCATGTAAACTCATACATCTTAAGTTTTGGTATTTGCAAACTAGTGGATGCTTCAATTTTACATTAGCATTGCCAATTGGCCAAAATAGGAGTCTACCAGCCGGCATATAGTTTCTTCAAATTACACTTCTTAAGGAGACAAAACAAAATTCCAACCAAAACTTTATGGATTATAAAACAATGATTTCATGACAAAAAATGAATTTATAGCATCATAGACAAAGCTGATTTTAGAAATTTTGCAAAGAATGCAAGACCTAAGTTCTTAAAACAATAGTAATTTCAACAGGTTAGCCTTTGGAACTTATGCTATGACACCGGTTGTGTGAGGAAGAATGAGGTTCAAACTGTTTAAATTTGTCTCAGAAAAACCAAACCAAGCTTGCCTACCATTTTCTCATTGCTGACATAAACAAACAAACACCCACCCCCCCCAACCCCCAACCCGAAGAAAAAAACGCCAAGGAGAAAATAAAATAAAATAAAAAATAAATCGGTTAGTCTTCCATACTCATAAGACATAATTATGGATGCAACAAACAACAGTGTCCTGGTAATTCCATCCTCATGAAATACTGCCCATATCAGAGATTCTTCAAGCTGCTCTTTCAATACCTCTTATCTTAGAGATTCTCCCACCTGTTCTTTCAATACCTCCTATATTATATAAACCAATCCAGATCCTCAAGACAGCACAAGTTATGCATCAAAATCAAAAAAGGAAGAGAAGAAAAACAAGTCACATTTTGCCAGCTCATAATCCCAAACCATTAAGGCTATATTTCTAAAATTGTATCTTGTGCAATAGAATATTAGGTATATGCCATATGAAGTATGTGGAGGCTCCGACTTACCATGTCTGGAGAGGATTTCCAAAATGAAAATTTTCCCCAGTAAGTAATGCTTGCACTACACTATCTACTTCAGTATGTGATGGAAGAAACTCACTGAGAAACTTTCTTTCAGTTTCTGTCAAACATGACTGCCAAACCTGCGTTAAGTCCCAAAAATGAAGCATATATACAAATAATTAAATAAAATCAGATAGGCAAATGCTCCAGATTAAGTAAACCCCAGTACCTTGGGCTTATTAAGAAAGTATACCTACCATAAAGCCATGGACTATGAAAAGCCATAGCCCATTTGGGTCATCACCATGCAGTGAGATGATGGACACTTTTGGAGTCATGTCCTGTCCTAGTGGATCCCCATTCTCTCTCCATCACTGTCCATCATTCCATTGGACAATGATGACCCAATGGACTGTTGTTAAGCAGTTCATGGTCTTATAGCATACTTTTGTATTAACAAAATGAAGAACCTGAGTGAGAGCAGCAGTAAAATGCATAAAAAATAACTAACCTCGTATGAGAGGATTTCAACTATGTTGTCGAGATCATAGATTTCTTCAGGGACACTTAGAACATCTGCCACGACTTTGCAAGACTGAGGAACAGGGTCAACATAAGGCAAAAGATCTCTCATAGCTATACCAACTTGTTCCCTCTTTGCAATCACTTTGTTTTGAGCCTTGTCCCACCCCAAGGAAATGTGAGGCCTCATCCTCAATATACCTTGAGATAATTCCATGGTCTTTCTCTTCTTTTCTTTGTGTTGCTCTAGTATATTACAGTGTAGGACACTAGCACCATTTAATCGCCGCTTCTGCTGGCCAGCAGCCATTGCGAAGGACAAAGAAAGAGAAACCAGTTACCAATGTATATCCCTCTACATAGTCCCTCAACGTTCTCTGTATCCAGAAAAGTACAGCTTTCCTTAATAAATGAACCCAATTTGCCCTAACTAGACAAAGCATAATAGATAGGAAAATTGTTTCATACGAGCTGGACCGCATATCTACATATGAGGTCCAGAAAGAGTAAAGCATCCATCTTAAAGATGGATGCAAGTAGGTGTTTCATCTAAAAACATTGGAAACTAATGGTGCATATGTTTTCTTACTAGAATTATTATTTTAAATTTTTAAAATTTATTTATTTATTCATATTCATGATCTCCTAATCTTAAGTGAATTACATAGTCCT